GGTTATTTTTCTCATTGACGTTAAATGCAATCGCAAGTCAGTCAGATTTTGACCATAAAAATTGAACAATATTTTTCCATTTTTTTTGGGCAAACATAGCTGCACTCTATCGCATTGTACGTTTATTTTTAAATTTATCCCTCCAAAATAAATGTCAAATCAGAAAACTTGAAAAATCTTTGAACGCCGTTTTCTCATTTCCAGTTTTTTACAGATGGGACTGACTTGCGATTATGGGCAGTTCACCCGACACGAATGCCACCAATATGATAAAGTATCATTAATTAAATAATAATAATATTAATAATAAAACCTTCAGAGAAGTTCAGCTAAGTTCAGGGCAGTTTAAAGATTTTAAAGAAAGATCCGTAAAACGAGAGAGAAATTAAGGAAAGTAGATCTTTATAGCAGTTACAATAACTACAGGGAAGCTCTAATTTTTTTTGATAGCTTATGCGCTCAGGGTAGTTTGAAAATCTTGAAGAATTATTTCCGATTAATACAGGAAAGTTCCATTAAAATCGACAAAATTGGGAAAACTTCTTGGAACTGCGTAAATATTTGGTTTTAAATTTTAGAAAATCAACCTTAGAGTAGTCTTGACCATTTTAAGAACGATCAAAGATCTCTCTAAAAGTCAATAAAACTTCAGAAAAGATTGGGGAACTTCACAGAAGTCCAGAGAAATACAAAGATGTTTCGAGAAATCAAAAAAATAAAAAAATGCGGGAGCGTTAGAGAGGATTTATGTATACCAGAAAAATCGAGGTGACTTAAGAGAAGTTCTGAGAGCTTCTGGTAAATGTTGAAAACTTTAGCCAATTCCTTAGAAGCTCATAAAAGTTTCAGGGACATTAACCTGAAGAAAAATTCAGGGAGTTAGTTACTTTATTATGGAGACTTTCAGCACCTGGCTGGTTCGTCTATCATTAATTAATTAATTTATCTTTATTAGGGAGGCTTTCAGCCTTGGGCTGGTTCGCCTCCAAGTGGTTCGTCTTTAAAAATACAGGGATCTATTAAGACGTTCTCAAAACTTCAGGGAAGCCCCGAGTGGCACGCACCAAACCTTTAATTCTGACACAGGCAAGAGGTGTAATTGGATTGTTTAATTTTGAAAAATATATCGGTTATTTTACATCATCTGAAAGAGCTTCGTTTTCTGAGCCCAACGATAATATTTTTTCCAATCCCATAGACTATCATTACGAACGTAATCGCACATATTTCCAATAAGTCCAGTGCACCAAAATTGATGAATTCCATCAATAGCGTTAATAACTTTAATAACACCCTGCCACTCCATTAACTACAGAAGAAATTTCGTAAGTAGAGTCCGTTTAGAACATTTTCAGTGGCATTAACTACGATTTAAGTACTTTTACCTTTTACTTTAGAACCATACTGAACATATGGCAATATCATTTTCATTACTTGCAGTACAACTTTAATATGCAAGTATTTTTGCTTGCCTTTTTACTCCGACGCACCGGTCTTGGGTTTTGTATACCCCTTGGAAAGCCCAGAAAACTTGTCGAAAGTCCATAGAATTTCTGAAAAGTTCATAGAATTTCTGGGAAGTTTACAAAAATTAGGAACGTCCATCAGACAGCATCAAAATGTCAAAAGAAATGCACAAAAAGCTTACAGATCCTTACAGAAGTTACGTGAAGTTCGGGGAAGTTCCGAGAGGGAACTTAATTGTGCTTACATGTGCGCATGAATTTAAGGTGGTCGGAGGGTGCACATAAACAAATTCAACTAGTAACCAGCTCTCATGCATGTATATGGCTGGAAAAATATTCAGGTTTAAGTGAAAAGTTATCAACTTCCTCCCGTTTTACGATACGTCGATTTTCATGAGCAACCCCTTAAAATCAGTATTTGTATTGCTACACTGTCCGATTATTTTATTACATTTTCTGTCTATTCTACAAAGTTGTTTACTTTGTTAAAAACATATTTTTTTTTCTGAACAAACCAAAATTTTATATCAAATATTTTCAAAATAATTTGATTTTTTGTCTTAAGATACCCTTAAACTATCTTCTCTAATATCAAAAACTTAATTTGCATCTATCATTAATCACATATTTGATACTTCCAGAAGAAAGTGTTTGATTTTCTAGGAAATTTACACACACCACACCTCTAAAATCAACTTTTCAGAGGTAAAACTATTTCGATCACTGATTTGGACCTCAGAAAACATTGTTCTGGAGTGAAATGGGAAAAATTACTTCACTTTCATCCAACTCTTTTTGGAGTCTTTTCCCTGGAATCTGAAATTTTTGTTGGATTATGAAGTTTTGCTTTGAATTAAAATAAAATGGACATACTAATGTTTATTTTGAATAGTTGTCTCACAAGTAACACACAAAACAGAATTCGAAAAGCATCTATAATCGTATTATAAGTGATGCAAAAAACATCCCGAGCTTTGAAATAGCTCTGTAAACGTTTTCTGGCTCCTTCTCAGATAGTTTTCATCCTCCAAGATGATCATATTTGGATTTGATCTTTGAAAGTTATATAAATGTGCACCTTACTTTTATAATACCACAATAAAACATGAAAAGATGCTAGATAGGTTTTCATAGAGGAGTTGAAATGATAATTCAGATGCCGCGTCCAGTACTTTTCAAAACATCTTTATGACGAACCAAACGCATTTTCTCTAGAATATAATTTTCCTGTCATTGACGAAGAACATCATAGATAGTAAGCCTAAGTTAGTCATCTTTCGATATTAGTCTAGTTAGGAAGGTACAAACCTATCACGTCAAGATCCAGTGTTCGAATCCCATGCTCAATTTTTTTTTATTATAATTTTGCATCTAAAATTTATTGGTTATTATGATGTTTTCCGGAACATGTTTTAAGACCATAATCTACTTTTACAAGCTCTTCCTCTCGCTTGGTTATATGCCATGCGTGAGAACTTGATAGATAATAAAAATGGTTTACCAAGAAGTGGAGTTGGTCTACTAGAGAAGTTCCAAACCTAGTGCGCTGAATACTTGATTTCGAATCCCATACTCGGTAATGTATTATTTTTGTTTTGGAGAATACTTTTTGGCCATTTAATTTTATTGGTTATGACGATGTTTTGCAGAACATGTTATATGACAATTGATTTGTTTTATAACACTTGCGCTTTTTCAGTTGTATAAAAGTATGAAGTATTTTCAAATCTAATTGAACACTCATATATGTTTTTAGGCAGTATTTTTAGCACCTTAATGACAAGTTGTGTTGCATGGGCTTTGTATCTGAAACAAAAAAAAAACACTTTAATATGTTCGTGTACCTCTTGCATCAATGGTAACCATTGGTAACCATCGCTTAGGTACTGGAAAGGTTGTATTGTTTCGTTTCACTCAAAGACTGAAAAGTTCGTTTAAACTAATCCACAGAAAAAAAGAATTTGCATGGGAGGTCCCATCCTCCAGAAATACCATAGATTTTTCCTTATAATTCTCTCGATCCTAATCTCAGAATTGCATTGGAACTCGGCTCAGAATTATATTGTAATTATCGTTAAATTTAATATAAATAATCCCAAGGCATTCTCCTCAGGATTCCATAGAAATTGTCCTTGGTATTTCCATGAAGCGCTACAATGAATTTCTTTTGTCCTCAGAACTCCATTTCATTGATATGCTCCTCAGAGTTTGTTTGGAACTCAGAAATTAATTTCCTTGAAATTCTTTTCAGCATTATATTGGAGCTGTCCATAGATTTCCCTTGGAATTCTCCAAACAATTAATTTGACATTATTCTCCGAATGTTCTTTTGAGTTTTCTTCAGATTTCGTTTTGAATTCTCATGAACTCTCATTTTCAAGAGAGTAAATTGTTTAATGTATAAGCACTAGCATAACTGCTGGTGCCCCCTCACGCTGAATATACGGAACCTCAAAGCCAAGTTTGATTAAGTTGATCGTGGAGCAGAAGAACGTGTTGAGCAGACATATTACTCTTTTTCTTTGAGCAAACTTGCTTCATTAACAAAACAATCCCATAGATTACACCTCTTTCCATTATCCCTTTAATTTACTACCATATCAGGTAACGCAACTACCTGCCATGTAACACACGTGTTTGTTTTAAGACTTTCATAAAAAAAAAAATCATGCCTCCCACCCAAGCCAACACGACCTACTTATTACTGGATCCTATTTACAAGAATAATTAATTAGCAAATAACGACGAGCTATTTGCTACACTGTTTCCTGACTCCGGTTTTCCACTCATACACATAATGCTAGCCATATGATAGCTGATGCTGCTCAACTTGCTGCCACACTCTATTTGTAAAGCTACCGGCGTCATGTGACTCTCACTCTAGTCGAATAGCAGTCCTGTTTTCTTCAGTTAATTGTGAATAAATATTTAACGCCATGGCAAAAGTGTCAGCCTTACTACACACGAAGGCAGGTATGAATGAACTACTGTTGCAAGTCTTGCTCGAGGATGCCTTCTCGGCGGCTGCAACTTTCCCATCTGATTTACGAACTGTCACATTGTTTGTTTATGCAAAGTAGGTATGCAGGGGGATGATGGTAGGCAAAACGTGGGATAGTGGGCGGAGAATGAGTCTAGGTCTGAACAGTAGGATTTCCCTAGCGCTGGGGAACTTTACTTAGCAGGTGCGTACGCTAGAGGTGCTCCTCAAAAAGGGAACGGAAGATGGAAAGTCACGTTTGGGAGGCGGAGTACCTACATCGTCTCTGTAATATCATTTTATGATGCAGTCTGCCAACTTTATCAAGACTCGCTGTGAATGGTATTGTTTTTAAGAAGGAGAGTGTTTGTATGTGTGTATGTTATTTGTTGGTGAACCGTATGTACAAGTGCACGAAGATTTACATTTGTCATCTCGTTTTGTTGGCGAGACAAATGAAAAAGTTTGTCTTGAAATTATACATTTCGATGCAAGCACGAATCTTTGAGTGCCCTCTGTGTGACGATGTATGCGAAGGTATGTTTGACACTTACTTGAACTTTCCGTAATGGTTTTCGGGCTACCGGGCTCGATTTCGATTTCGGTGTCGATGCAGACGGATGCTAGGTCCTCAATGCCGATCGGCTCCAGCTGGTCGGATTCGAGGTTAGGAACTACGATTACGACATCACCACGATCGTGCGCTTGACCGGTACTGTTCCCCACGTACTGCGGGGGTATAGAGCTGAAAAGCGAAATTTGATTGTAAAATCATATTATTTTGTTTTTTCTCCATTGTATTGAAAATTAACTGCAGCAATATATCAAAATTCAATGAAGTTTTTTTTTTATGAACTCCCATTATAATTATATACAGAAAAATATAAATCGTTAGGCCATTTGAATTGAAGTTTGTATTTACGTGAACATTCACTAGAAGGATAAGGTAATATTCAAAAGAACTATTACATAATAAGTATGCATGCCATGACACCTGAAGGATATTTTACCTCATTAAGATTTATTCCGCCTTTCGCACCGGAAATCATAATCAGATGAAATCGATTATTTCATATAATTTTCTTGCACGATTAATAACTCTCAAACCACTAACGACAGATTTGTTATATACAAATGTAAGAGATTGTATCCAAGACATGACCATAGATTTGACGTGGGATTACGTTCTTGGTATCAATATTCAGTGACTGTGTTAGGGAAGCCATCACGGAAACGCTTCGTTTTCTGATGGCAAAATTACGCATTTTCGTGCACAAAACGCATGGTTTAGTCAATAGATAATAAAAAGCAAAACTTGATTGGAGAAATTTATTGCTAAAAATTTCGAATCGCGCGATATTCGCGGTCAATCTTATAAATTAGATTTCTTTTTAGGGCTTTTTACTAGTGCCCTGGAGAAAACCTTACCTTAATTCGAAGTGTTTCTGGTTAATTGACAAGGTCATGTGGTTGTCGGTCATTGCGAGAATTTCTATGTACCACTTCAATACTGTTACGCATTTGAAAACAAACGTTTGGTTGTTGGGTACATTATCAAAGAGCTTTGAGAGTGATGTGGCTGGCAACAAGGCGAGCGAACATTCACTCTTAAACAACAATAATTTATGGTGGTCCTGAAAAGGACCGTTTTGTCATGATGGTTGAGTAATGTTGAGCTATTAGGGCGTTCAACACGGATGAGGCTGGCGACCTGTATGTTGCTTGGAACGAGGGTGACATAGATGCTGAGCCCACATCGGCTCACGACGAACAACTGAATCCGATCAGTAGCGGTGCGGCTTCTTCATCCTTCTTCGATGAATCGAGGGCTCTTGAGGGCAGCCCTGATAGCTAGCTGTCAATTTACAACGCCACGCACCAAAAGCGCTGCTGCTGCTTCTGCTGATAACGACCGGACACCACCACTCACCACACGCGGTGATTGAATAAACACCGTTCGGCGAGACTGGATCAAATTCGATTTTGAAATCTGTGTTAGGGAAAGCGCTTTCATTTTTATTACCATAGCAACAGTTGCACATTCATGCGATTTTCACTAGTGACTTTTTGAAAATTGATATTCTTAATTTTAACAGATATTCTTAATATCGATTGGTGTATTAAGAATTAAAATCCATCATCTCTGAATCTAAATCAGAACACTTCCATCCCGCGACAGACTTTGGTTTTGAAATTGTACCCCCAATGTTGCCTTAAAAATACATGCTATGTTAGATTTAATCACTGGCGTGCACAGGTTGAGGCAAGGTGGGGGGGGGGGGGGAATTGGCTCCCTTTTATAAGCAAGATTTTTATTTCTACACTTAGAAAATTATGATACAACCACGCTTACAAAATTATGATGTAACATGAATGAATAACCCTGGTGGAAAAATTGAATCATAGAAATTTGGAGGTGCACATTTAACTGAAAATTTCTGGTGGAAAGTTCGCAAAACTGTGGTGTATGTAGAAGCAAGGTTTATTCTTTTTTCTGGTGCATAATTTGCATCGTTCTGATGAACGAAAGCTTCATTGAAAATTTATGGTGGAAAATTTGTACCATTCTGGTGCATGAAGAGGCAAAGCCTGAAAATTGCACCATAAAGGTGCATGGTGAAACAAACTTCACTGACAATTTTAGGTGCACCCTTCTGGAGGAGCATGCTTTATTGAAAATTTCTGGTGCAAAATTTGTATCGCTCTGATAAATGAAATGAACAGAAAATTTCTGGTGGAAAACTTGCACTGGTCTGGTAAAATTAAGCTGTATTGAAAATTTCTGGTGGACAATCTGCACAGTTCTGGCAAACGGATGGGCAAGCTTTTGGAAAATTTTTGGTCTTAAATTTGCATCCTTCTGCTGAATAGAGAAACAAACTTTGAAAATTAATTCTTGTGTAAAATTTGCACCATTCTGATAATTGGAGGGAAGCTGCTTCACTGAAAATTGATGATAAAAAATCTGAAAATAGGGGCAGCTTTATTTGGTGAAAAACCATTCTGATGATAGGAGAAGCAAGCTATATGGAAAATGACTGGTGGAAAATGGAAAAAGGAAATCTGTGGATCGTTCTGGTCAATTCAAATTTTCTGGTGTAAGTTTATATTGAAAATGTATGGTATCAGATTTGCAACAATCTGCTGTCTGGAGGGGCAAGCTGAATTGAAAATTACTGATGTAAAAATTGCACAGTTCTGGTGAATGGAGGGGCAAGCTTTATTGAACATTTCTGGTAGAAAAACTACAACGTTTTGGTGAATGGACGGACAACTTAAACTTGACTTCCGAGAAGAACCTCAAAGGTTCTGAATTCTGAGGACAGTTCCGAAATAAAAGATTTTTGGGCATGATTCCATGAATATTCTGCGAATAATTTCAAGTGAATCCTGCAGATAATTCCAAGATAATTTCGATAAGAATACCGTGAAAATTTTGAGTGAAATTCCAAGGGGATTTTGAGCAAAATTTCAAGCGAATTCCGAGGATAATTTCTAGTTCATTTCAGGAAAAAATTTTGAAACTCTAAAAGATTTTCAGTTCCAAAGTGAAGAGTTCTAAATATAATTCCAGTGGACCTCTGAGAAGAATTTAAAAAGAGCTCTTAGGGGAGTTCAGTATTCCATGTAAATTCTGCGAATAATTTCTAGTGAATCCTGCAGATAGTTCCAAGATAATTCCGAAAAGAATACCGAGAAAATTAAATTTTGAGTGAAATTCCAAAGGGGTTTTGAGGAAATTTCAAAAGAGTACCGATAATTTATAGCTCATTAAGGGAATCATTTCTGCATAATACTGAGAAAATTCTTCTGAAACTGTAAGGGAATTTCAGTTCCAAGGTGTTATGAGTAAAAGTCAGGAAGAGTTCTAAAAATAATTCCAGATGACTTCTGAGAAGAATTTCAAAAGAGCTCATAGAGTTCTAAAAATTTTGAAAAGAACCTCAAGGAATTCTGAGGATGGACTTTTTTGCAACTGTACAAAGTTTAAAGACAGCTTTTGGATTCCCTAATTGAAAAGTGGGTATAAGTTTGCCATTGAACCTTCGTCTATTGTTGTCTTACTAAGAATTACTTCTCTGAAAATGTCAAGTCATTTGTTAACGTGGCTAAAAAGTTTCAGCTGTCTATGTGCATTGCAATAAACTCGGGTTTGTCCTTTATATCATCTTTAAAACATGTTGAATGTTCGGCATCATTTTCTGTCACCCCGACTGGCGGTACTTTGGGACAGGGTTGATATGCTCAATCCTTCGCACAAGTCGTCATTCCGTTAACAATACTGTACTCGCTTTTCAAAATTGTTTTGTGCACTTTTGATCTAATCGTTACACATTTTTTAAACCTTTTTAATGATCCTATTAGCCTTGGCATTTAGGTCAAATTTGAAAAAAAAAAAAAACTACAATTTTCGCTGAAAATCACCCAGTTCAACGTACTTGCAACGGTAATAGCATAGAGGTAACTCTAAGACCAGAAGGTCCCGAAGAAACGAGCTCAACTTTTTGGCTCATCTCTAGTACTATCTTCGGTCCCAAGCTAATCGATGCACCCCTCTAAACATAGGAAAATCCACGAACCCCTCATTTTATCTGTCAAACTTTCATAGCGAATCAAAACAAATATAGTGTTGTACTGGAATTTAGACTAGAATGGGGTACGTTAATCGATTTGCTTGGGACCAATAGGCTAGTCAAGTAGTGAGCCAATTTAAAATCGTTAGTTTCGTTATGATTGTTGGTAATAGTAAAGTGTAACTACTACAGTATATAGGGCTTACAAAACCTTTAAATAGTAAAAAATAAACTGAAACGATGCCAAAAACTAAAACTAAAACTATTTTCAATGTTATTCTGGATTTTCAGAACCAATTCTACACAATCAAACATTTCGCTGCCGGTCTTTTCAGACGATCCGATTCCTACAGGGTTCAGAAATTGGAAGACAGCGACTGAGTTGCTGGGCAAACAAAATCGCAGTGATACCCATGTTGGTAGTATGGAAGCGTGGAATTTTTTTTAAACCATGAACTTTGTTTGTTCACTGCTATGCGCACTGTTTACATGCGAAAGGAGAATGCGATTCTTATTGGTCATTTATGTCGATTTGTTGGTGCTATTACCACCATCTGACGTGACTTCAGCTGAATCGAACCACCAAGGCAACAATATTGCAGCAAATGTATCATTTCGGTTAAAGGCCTACTATCGCAACTATTTAACGAACCGATTATTATCGATATCGTCAATGGGATTAAATTGACAATTTCCATTGGCTGTCTGAAAGTAGTTTGCAGTGAAGAAAATGAACCACCAACAGAGCAAAAAATATATAAAATTAGCTAAATTGAACAGTAGAAAACAGTGGTGGGTGGATAACACCATCCACCACGCACTTTGGAGTACTCCCCATACCCAGGTTGAATGCACCATAGAAAAAAAAATTGCCCCTCCTTAACAAGATTCCTGTGCACGCTAGTGGATTTAATCTTATGAGAACTGACATCCGATTAATGCCCTTGACAAATCTTGATAGATCTGGAATTAGGGCGTAACAGCTTTTGTAAACAATGACTTCTCTCGATGATTTCTCAAAACTCAAGGGACGCCTACGCAAACCAACATAACCAACGGGAAAGGGAAGTCTTCCTCTACCCGATGGTGTTATTGATTTGAGTGGGCGAGCCTTGGCTTTCTAGAAATCATCGAGAGAAGTCATTGTTTACAAAAGCTGTTACGCCCTAATTCCAGCTCTATCTAGAAATGTCCAGAAAATACTCCATTTATGGTGGTCCTGAAAAGAACCGTTTTGTCATGATGGTTGAGTAATGCTGAGCTATTAGGGTGAATTTTTTTGAAATTTCATCTCCAAACTGTTGCGGAAAGACGTAATTCTACGTCAAAATAATGAAAATTGTTTTCAATCATAAAGTCAACCATTGGTTGATTAATTACAATAGAACAATGCTAATGTTTTCATTCTTACAGACACTTGATATAGATTTCATGAGTGATCCTAGTATCACGCATGATAATCAATGTGAACCACTCACCTTAAAGTAACTCGCTTCTTAATCCTATGTCCCAGGTCGGAGAATCCGCGTTGCATTGGTGGACGTCTCTGCTGTATTGGTTCTTCGAATGTTTTCGCGATCGGTGAATTCGGTTCCGAAAATTGTTTATCTATTAAAATAGGTTTTGGCTGGCCACATGAGACAGAGCGAGAGAGAAAATAGAGATCAGAGTGTTTGAATTATGCCGTTGTTTAACAGGTGGTAAATCAGCTGGATAATCGCATTAGGGAAGCTCAATTAAGTTCTACTATTGCTACATGTATAGGACCAAAGCGTGCTGCACGGTGGCAGGGTGCTACAGATACTCACTTTTAACGAACCACTAGAACTACTTGTCACAGACGTGATTACAGCCGCTGCTCCGCCCCCTTTCGGTGGCAACGATGGAAGGTTTGGATTGTTGGAATGTGATGTGTCAGGATGGAGTGGAAGTGATAAAAGGCGCTTCCGATCCTGCATGTATAACTCTATAAACGTATCTACCTTTGTCTCTATGTCGTCAACCTGCAGATGAAAGGAGCGGAGCGAAGGATGATGAATTAATTTTACACTTGAGTGAAACAGTTTACTCTCTCATGTATATGCTGGAATCAACTTACTTGTCTTTCAATTTTCACTACACGAGAAGCTAAACTAATTTTCGATGCATACACATCTTTTGATTTTGATCCTTGTTTGCCAAGAATTTGGTCTAACCTGTTTGGGTGGGCGGGAAGTCGAAGGGGTAGAAAGAAAAGCATACAAACAATGATCGTCATTAGTATTCAGTCGTCGTTTGCTTTCTCGTTGCACACACAATTGTTATTGTGTTAGAGTTTAATTCAATTTGCTTTTTTTTCGAAAAGCGAGAGGGAAAGAGACCGAAAACGATCACACGGGGAAAGCAGGCAATAAACATAATTGAAAAACTTCAAACAGATTACTTTCGTTTTCGCCCACGCTCTAGGGCTGTCGTCATTTGTGACACAAAGATTGCAAAAGGAGCGAGCGAAGGAGTTAAGTGAGATTGGTTTCTTGTCTCAAGAAGATGTTTTCTCCGGGCAAGAGGAATCAAACTGTACCATTAAACTGTCACATTCTTCACCTTTTTTTTCCTTGCAGGTTTGTGTTTGTCTGTTGGAAGCTTTTTGGAAAATGAATGAATATGGCTGCTGCTGCTGGTTTGTGGGTCTAGTTTAAGCATGTGCAACGGTACAGTACAATGTATGATTGAGTGGTGCCAACTTTTCTTCGGATATTAAATAGGCGTCTTCTTGGGAACATTATTGAGATTTATAGGATTTGTATGGCGTGTGCAGTAAACCGTTGAACAATTACAATGGTAACATAAATATAATGACTATGTCAAAAAGTTGAAAAACTCCAGCTGCACCACCACCGAAGGGATAACAATCATCATTCACTTCTGGGCGTCGTTGCCAATATGTTTGTTTCGGTCTGAAGAAAAGAGGTGGAAAATGAAATTGTTTCCCGGCACGCTCGTCCTCGTCATCGTCAATTGGGTTCGACGGATTTTCCTTTTTGAGCAACAAAACGATGACTTTTAGCAATGCGCCAAAAGGCAACCGATATCGTCGAAACTCTCAAGGAGGGGGAAGTGCATTCCTTCTCGCGAATCTATACCGGCAATAGAGCGGAAAAAAGTTTCCTCTGTTTGAAGTTTTTCGTGACGGCTCTGTTTCGAACCGTTTGGAAATTGATGTTTTCATCTCTTTCGCTCCCGTTGTTGGGGTTGCGGGAAGGTGCGGTGGTTACTTTTGTTTTTTTTTTCAGTCCATAAACCCAGAAAAAGGTTAGTAAATATAGTCTGTTACAAGTGCGATAACCGTTATAAAAAAGGCAACCTGCAGCGCAATAATGGTCGAAAGCGAATAAAAATATGTATGGGCGGTGAAGCATAGCGAAACAAAAACAATTTAACATCAGAAAAAAGTTTTCTCTATAATTAGTGACCGTTCATGCAGCAAAAGCAAAGTGTCATGATGCTGGTGGAGGTGAAAGCTTAAGGCGTTCTAACCTAAGACTTGGAGTTGGATTGCAGACCGACACAAGTTTCACTCGGTGGAAAATTTGCAGAAAACAATTTTCTTTGTTTTCCAGTTCATTGAAAAGTCAGTCCGGTGCGGTGTTGCGGTGTGACGACGACCGTGGGAATAGAAACTGGTGATGTTCGTGCGAGTAAAATGTTGCTTCACATTTTCAGATGGATACAATTTAGTATAGTAAGGATGGCATTTGCATTTCTTTGTGCTTTTTAAAGTTAGTTTTGCCCTCCCCCCTCGTCTGGTATCCATCATCATCGGTCGTCATCGTCGTCGGAGCGTGATGAAGCACCATTCAGAAAGCTCATTATTACGCTTTGTCTGCAGTGAAATTGCGCTATCGTTTTTACAATAAACCGCTCTACCTACTACGGAATGCTAGGTATTTAATATTTTCTAGTTTGTGGTAGTGTAATTATAGCGGGGAGGAGCAACATTTGAATGGCGTGCGTTTAAAAATTGATATGATTACTGACGTGAGAAAATACCTACAAGCATTAGTTTATTATTCCATTACATTTTATTATACCAGTACGAGATTGTGAAGGATTGAACCCGCTTGTTAGCTATGCGCAAAACCAGGCTTGCGGCCATTAGTTTACTATAAAAAAAATGTTTTTTGGATTTATGAAATCATTAGCTGTTTGAGCCATGAAACTTGTTCATTTTGTACTTTCAGAGAGTCATAATTTGATGATCAATGAATATTCATTCTTCATGACCAGTGAATATTCACCGATCATACAATTGCTGATTGTGATTGTCTGAATGCAACATTGGCAGATTTTATGTGTCAAACACGTAAATTAAATTACAACCTCTTCTTGTAACATACAAGCACAACACATCATTATATCATAAAATGATTTCATATTTCTGAAAAACAAGTTTTGTTTAAATTGATTGATGCCCGTTTTAGTAGAATCATTCTAGATAGAGCTTTAATTAGGGCGTAACAGCCTTTGTACACAATGACTTCTCTCGTTGATTTATCGGAATTCAATGCACGCCTACACAAACCAACATATCCATAGGGTAGAAGAAGTCTTCATCTACTCGATGGTGATGTCGATTTGCCAGGGAGAGCCATGACTTCCGAGAAATCATCGAGAGAAGTCATTGTTTACAAAAGCTGCTACGCCCTAATTCCAGCTCTATTTAGGATTGTACACACTTAGTTTTTTCTACCGTCTCGGCTGTGCAAATCTCGGCAGAAAAAGCTTTACTGAGATCTCAGCAAATATTTCATTTGTTTGCTGAGATTCAGCTAAGCATTATCCGAGACTCAGCAATCAAATGTCACTTTTGCAGAGATCTCAGTGAAACTTATTTTGCTGAGATTTGCACAGCCGAGCTCGGTAGAAAAAACTAAGTGTGCATACCTGGTTTCGTCGATTTTTCCTTTTAATCTGCAAAAGTTTTGTTTAGCAAACGAATGGCCGCAACCCTGCACAAAACTATCATTACTATGCACACAATTCTTTTTTTTCTGATAATCGACAGTTTTGCCATATCTAAACTCAGCATTCAATATTGATAAGCAGAGTGCTTTACGTGGATAAATGAAGTCCGTGATTACTCGAATTTTGCCAATCGTTCTCTCATTCAATGAGCTCTCACGAGAGATTAAAATCACGTGCGAATCAGCAAAACAAATCTCACGCTGAGATGCTCATGCATTTTCACGCACTCGCACTCACAACGTCTGAAATTCATTCATCTACTGTAGCTTAAAACACATAAGAACCACCCAAACGTCAATTTGATAGCATGCTCTGCTCATGCATGGTTTATTAGTTTTCCATCAAATAATGTAACAATAGACTAATAACAATAAACAACACCAACATATAGAGCAATTCATTTTTGATCGAAAAATTTCATCGATGATTAGTACTCAGTAGAAATTGAGTGTACCGTGAGGGCATAAATACGTTTGGTATACGTACGTTAGGCGTAATTTACGTTAGGCATAAATACATTAGGAATAATGGACGTTAGGTATAAAATGCTGATAAGTATGTTATTCATATACATTCTGCAACTTCAATCTTGGATCTGGAATTCCAGTATGGATTGTGATTATCTGAGTCTTCTCAGACATCTAGCTTCTGATATATGCTGGTTCTATAAGTGTCGATAAGGGGAGCTGAAGGTCAGCCCAAGTAAGAATTGTGATTTTTGAGAATTCTGTAGACTACCATGATAAGACTTGTAGAATTCCTCGATAAAACTTACAATGTTACTTGGGGGCAGGGTTCTGCATTTTCGTAACAACGAAAAGAAAATCAACTCTCCGCAAAATCGATTTATTTGGAGCAGTATCATTTTCTTGTAAGTAATTGTGTTTCTTGTGTTCTAGTCACGACGAACATTCCTTCTGTTAAAATGACTTGGCTATCGCTTGTCTCGTTCCGTCAAGTTCATCAGTTCATTTCATTTGAAACAAATACATGCTTCATTTGACGGAAACTGCTTTCATCGATTTTTCCGCTTTCAGTTCAACTCGATGTTTGAAAAGGCGCTCACTGGTGTGGTGGCTGTGTGGTATCAAACAACATGTCGATGTTGTGTGGAGTGAAGCGAATGTCGTCATGATGTTTTGACATGCTAGCGAATACCACACCGCTGCCACAAGATTGGGGCTCACTGGTGTGGTGGCGATGTGGCATCAGTCAACATGTTAAAACATCATGTCAAAGTCGTGTGGCGTGTGGTGAACGTCGACATAATGTTTTGAGATGCTAGCAGATGCCATACCTTCGCCACATCAGTGGGCACCTTGACTTAGGCGAGGCACCCACTGATGTGTCACCATATGACCTCAAACAACATGTCACAACATCGCCTATAAACCGTATGCCGTGTGGCGAACGTAGACATGATGTTTTTACACGTTAGCAGAAGCCACATTGCCACCACATTAGTGAGCTAAACTAAGGCAGGGTAGTTTGTGTCAGTAGGTAGTTTGATCGGGACCATCTTTGACTCATCAAAAAGGTGAGAATAGGTGTAGAACAACTCTGGCGGAAAATTCGCTAAGTTTATTACGGATAGCGATAAATCGATCTGCAACATCGACAGCGAAAGTGGGTGCAACGACTACAAAAGGAGAAAGATCCGCGAACATAAAAGCCAAGGCTTGTTGCGAAACGGCCATGTCATATCAACAAGCAACTGATTGTCGAAGTCTCAGAGGCTGGTGGCAATCCATAACTTACTCGCATCCTCCTTTGAGTGAGATGCCATGCTTGCATGCCATACGATCCACTAGTAGCAACGGTAGGCATGTTGTTGGACACCCGCATATCGAAGGATAATGTGTCTACATGTTCTCCCGGATCACGTCAGCTGCTTACAATTTTATTCTCAGCTACTAAAACATGTTAAAGTCTACCGCACGCCAAAAGAATCCTCGGCTGCATGTGACATGCGTATTCAAGTTTTCATTTTCTTGAAATCAGTGCACGGTTCCGAACGTCGCATTTTGTTCTCGTTCATTTCACACCGAAGAAAAAGTGACGGCAATAGATGAAAAAGAATGGGAACCACAAAAAAAGCAACTCGAAAGTGACAAATTTTACATAAACGTGCACTGATCTATTAGGGTTTGCACCGTAAGAGTTAACCTCAATCTTGTGACAGTTCAGTGGT